AAGAGTGAAAAATTTAAGGGGGTCTGAATACTTTCCGTACCCACTGTATATATATATATATATACACTGTATATATATATATATGTGTGTGTGTGTTGATATATGATATAAATTCATCTTTGTTGACATTAGTTAATAAAAATACAATTGTTCTTTGTTAGTTCATGTAAGCTGAGGCCCATCAAATAATATTAACTGATACAACTTTTGATTTGAATAGTAAAATGTTAGAATTAACATTAACTACGATTAATACATGTTTTAGAAATAGTTTCATTGTATGGTCGCTCTTGTTAACTAACATGGTTAGCTAATGTTAACAAATGGAACCTTATTGTAAAGTGTTACCTATTGTACTGATAAATAACATTTTATAACAACAGTGGAAATATAATTAAAAATATATATATGTTTGCACTTTAAAAGGATATATTGACCCCTTATCTAACATAAAATGAGTCAACAACTCATCAACTTAAGAAAATTCAGTATATCCTTACAGATGTTTTAATATTAGTATAGACACTACAGGTGTATATACATTTTTTCAAACAGCTGCTGCACTTGTCTTTCGTTTCATAATGCTCACTTTGTAGTGCACTGTCCATGGTGCTGGATACTGAGATTGAATGAACTCAAAATGGATGCTTTCTTGAAATATTGGAAAGGATTAGAAGGAACGCCATATTCGGCACGAGGAGCCAGCTGCATTCATTTCCAAAATTACATTTTAACTTCAGCATGTACTTAGTTTAATGACTGGATTGATTTCATAAAGTAAGCTAATTTGCAAAGCAAGCAGCATTTGTATTTGCGTGCAAGACTTTTTCCCCATGCTGTTGATCATACATTAGTATTTAATGCATTATCTCAGTTAAAGCTGTGTAGGGTATTTATTATACACTGATGGTTTTAATGAAATCTCAGTTGTGATCAGTATAAAATTAGCATTTTCTAGTGCATCCATCATTCATTGATTCCCTTCACTGATTCCCTTGCATGTCTAAAGTTCGGTGCTGGCAAGAAATGTACCTGTTTGTTATTTCCCACTTAGTGGTCTCATTCCAGGATTTCACAGATTGTAATTTCCTCAGTTTTATGGCACAATTTATTTTTATAGATGCTGGCAGTGGTTCTGCTGGCAGCCTAGAAGTGAGAGCGAAGTACATGCTCCTGTCTGCTCTTTAGTAAGGCGCTCCCGAATGAATGATCTCTTTAAAGTGGTCAGTCCTAGCGGTCAAAAGATCCTCATGCATTCAGCTTCAGTAAATGGATTGAAGCAGTTCGGTTCAAATGCGTTTCCCTGTTGATGAGGCATGTGTAAATTTGGAGTTATGTTACGTAGTGTAAGTAGTAATCTAGCATAGTAATATTTTCCTCTGCTACCCCGGTAACGCTTTACTGCTTATTCGCCCTAACTGAGTTTCACCAATTACCTCTAACAAATACACTTCTCTCCGCTGTGGGAGACGAGAGACTTCCTCATGCAGAAGACAGAATGAGGGTCACAGTTCCTCACTTTCTGTCTTCGACTTCAGGTTTCATTGCTCAGCAACTCGCTGGATTAAGCAGCACTGCTTGTGTGGATTTGTAGGACTTGTTTGATTAAATTGAAATTAAATTTAATACTTAAAAATGTTGAATATGCCCTATATCTGATTTCTGCAGTATTGAAATACAGTGATTCCTATGAAATCCATTTTTACGCACTCGATTATGAAGGACGTGTACCCATTAAATGTTAGAATAAGTTTCCTCTGTAGCTCAGCGCATGGCTTCCAAACGAAACAAGAAGAAAGGGTTTTAGAGCCCCTATCATAATACGGACTGTGCCGAAAAAGGACCATTTTTGATTTCAAACATCTCTACTGCTGAGGCACATTTCAAGAAAATAGACTGAAAATTCAACTAACCTTTGCTCTGTTGATACACGACCGCACTGTCTGGGCCTGATTGCTTGCAGATGCTTTTTCGTAGGCCTGTAGTCCTAGGACTGGACTGTTGCAATGATTTGATCATGGGAACCACATTGTTTCTGAACAAACACCTAGAGTTTTTCATCACTCTCCGCATCAGGCTGCAGTAACTTACGTCTGTGGTGTTGCGTCAGTCAGTTTGCTGAACTACTACTGTGCACCTTTAATTATACTTCTGGATAAATCAATATGTGTTATTTGTGTCTAGCATTTATTGACAAGAAAACCTGATAAAACATATACGGAAGTCTAAAAGAACACAGTGAAAATCTGCCATTCAAAGTCAAATTTACTGAACAGAAAGGTTTCATATTTAGGGATATTTAAAAAAAAAAAAAAAATAATAATAATATATATATATATATATATATATGTATATCGTTTTTTTGAAATAAATTGATACTTTTATTCAGCAAGGATGCATTAAATTGATCAAAAGTGACAGGAAAGATGAACTTTCTACTCATCAAAACCCTAAAATGTATCACATGTATTTTCACAAAAATATTAAGCAGTTGTTTTCAATATGATAATAATGAAAGATGTTTCTTAAGCACCAAATCAGCATATTAGAACAATTTCTGAAGAATCATCTGACACTGAAGACTGAAAATTCAGCTTTGCCATCATAGGAATAGATTCCATTTTCAAGTGCTTCTAAAAATGTTAAATTGTAATCATATTTCACAATATTACTGCCTTTACTGTATTAAAAATTGTAGCCTTGGTGAGCATAAGAGACTTCTTTAAAAAAAAAAAAAAAAACCTTGTAAAACGTCTTACTTTCCACAAACTTTTGAATGGCAACCAAATAAAGTTAAATAAATGAAATAAAGTTTTAAGATTTTGAAAAAATACAAAGCAGCAATTAGATGAAAATTAATAAGGAATATATACAATTCTGCACTATTTTTATCACTAATTAGTCAGATGTTCTTGTTTCAATTGGATCTTTTTGGATTATCTCAAAACATGTTGGAGAACATGAACATTCGATTTTACATGTGGAGTTCACAGAGCTTGAAAACATCTGTCATTAAAGCAACACTAACATCAGATACTGTAAATTCCTAAAATTCATGTAGATTTTTTTCATTTTCACTCAAATTGTGGGTTTTTTGGACCACATTGTACATGATTCTCTGCTTGTTCTTGTATCTAATACCTGTCATCTTCCCACAGGTCTCTATGATAAATGCTTCTACGCATCCAGCGATAGAGGATGGTTACTTGGCATCAAAGCAGTCAGCGAACAAGCCAACCGTGACCCTCGTGTCTTCTTCTCCCTCAAGACAGACCGAGCCCACAAGCTCACCACAATCACCTCCAATGCACCCTACACACCCAATCAATGGTCACACGTGGCCGTCACCTACAACGGTCTCTTTATGAAGCTGTATGTAAACGGGGCGCAGGTTGCTGTAAGTCGAGATCAATCCGGTGAGATTTTTAGCCCCCTTACCAAGAAGTGCAAGGTGCTCATGATCGGTGGCAATGCATTAAACCACAACTACAGGGGAACAATGGAACACTTGAGCTTGTGGCATCGGGCTCTGAGCCAACGTGAGATCATTAGATACATGGGTCTCAGTTTGGGTCAGTTTGGTGACCTCTCTCAGCTGGTCGTCTATGAGAACTTCGAGAGCATGTCAAGACGGTGGCTGACGGTGAAAGATGGCAGTTTCCCCCGGTTGGAGGACTCAGACCGGAGCCTGGCGGCTGTCCTCGGTGATGCTGCACTGAAACCTCCACCTTGCGGACAGACCGTGTGTGACAATGTGGAGGTGGTTACAAACTACTACCAGCTCTGGAGCTTCCGCAAACCCAAGACGGTGCGCTACCGAGTGATAAACGTTTACGACGATGACGGACGGTGGCCGATGATTACAGACCACCAGATCAACCTTCAGCACCAGCACTTGAACAATGCTTTCCGCGTCTACAACATCTCCTGGGAGCGCACCATTCACAACGTATACAACTCATCCTTACGTAACCGCCTAATACTGGCCAACTGTGATATCAGCAAAGTGGGTGATGAAGAGTGCGATCCAGAATGTAACCACACTCTTACTGGCTTTGACGCCGGATACTGTAAGAGGCAGGGCGCACGCTGCCCCGAATACAAGCAGGGGAACGGGGTTTGTGACCCAGAGTGTAACTGGGACAATTTCTATTACGATCATGGGGACTGCTGCAACCCCAACATCACTGATGTCACCAAGACCTGCTTTAATCCTGCATCACCCCACAGGTAACTCTCAACTGCTATTTCAAACCTATTCAGTGATACACAGAGTGTTGAAAATAATTATTAGTTCAGACCTTTCTCCCAATAATTAGTTTAGTTATTCATTAAACATGCAAATAACAGACTATATCCCATACAGCTTAACCCTGTAAAGCCTGACATTCAAAATAATAGTCAGAAAAATATATATACTGTATATATAATTTTTTTTAAAGGAGCAGTTAATTTAAAACAACATCTGATAAAGATTGCATGGCTCATATAGTATGATATAGGAGAAAATGGAGCTCATACTCAATTTTATTCAGAGGCCCAAACTGAGCAACAATATGTAATTTGGTGCAGTTGCTGATATTTATATGGCCAGAAATTATTATGAAATTGTGATAACTCATAATATAATTCAGTCTTTGCAACAGTGTAGCAAACTACTTAGATAAAATTGTAACACTTTACTTGAAGGGGTGTGCATAAGACTGACATGACACCTTCATGATCATGACATGACACATGTCATGAATATGAAGGAGGTTTTATGCATGTTTATGACAACTGTCATTAAGTGTCATTCGCTCAGTTATGTCATTTGTAATGCAAATATGACATTATTTTACCTACCCCTACCCTTACCCCTAACCATACCCCATAATAAAGACATCTCAAACAATGCCATCTTTGCATTAAAAATGACATAACTGAGCGAATGACATTTAATGACAGTTGTCATAAACATGCATAAAAAAACTTCATATTCATGACATGTGTCATGTCATGATTATGTATGTGTCATGTCATGATTATGAAGGTGTCATGTCAGTCTTATGCACACCCCTTCAAGTAAAGTGTAACCGATAAAATTCACAATAATATCAATTGTTGCTCTATATCTCCAAATAATATGTCTAGATGCTGATTAAATGCTTTATGCTGTAGTTTTAATTGTATTGTAGTGATGGTTGAAATATAATATAAATATAAATAAAACAAATGCAAATATATTACAAATAAACGTTCCTCAAAAGCCTTTAGTGTCATATGTCACTTAATTCCAATTATTCTAAAAAATAAATGTAAGTTGCTTCAGTCCAGCAAGTGCTCATCTTGATTACTAACAATATAAAAGTTATTCTTATGTTAACTTTATGAAAATCATTAAAGATTTCACATCAAAAAGACATGAACCATGACCTGAAGGGGAACATTTTTTGAATTATACTAAATGACCTTTTACTTGCAAAAAAAGTAAAACGATCAAGGTTTTTCAGCAAAGTTTTAATCATTGTCATAATTTAGAGACCTTAGAAATTTGTGTACTAAATATGATACAGTAGGTTTTATCAGCTTAAAATGCTCTTTTAAAAAAAATTGTTAATATTATCTATTAATTTATTCAAAAAGACTTTAAAATGCAGTTTTTTGGGGCCATAAATTCAAACATTTCAGGATGTCATAATGAAAAATAAACCTTGTTAAAAGAATGACATTGAAATTACTTTGTTATGGCAAGGCTAGATTATCTCAGGTTGTAAAATATCATGTGGTGTGACTCCCAAAAAATTATGATGTTTATGAACAAATAATATATAAAAACGTTTTGCATACAGTGTGTACATGTAATTCAAGGTGTTACTTGATGGTTACACAACATGACATTTTTACAATCCTTAAATTAGAACTTTTGTTGTAAATGTTATGAAAGTTAAAACCATATGAATTCAACATGAATTATATAACCTGATTTAAAGATAAACCTTTTTTATCTTAGACACTCTTATTTCTCATTGACCCATGTACAACAGTTTTTTCTTCTTCACAGCTGTTTAAAGATTTTGGAAGTACCAGACACGAACTCAAGGGCACTATAATTTTCATTCCTATGTGTGCAGCTTTCAGCTATTTTAATTCTGTTGCATTAATGTATTATGACTTGACGTCCTAAAAACATCTTAACTGCTGAACCGCAGTCAGAGTTCTGGAGCATGAATTAACGTATACAGGGATGGATGCAGTTTGAGGGACAGTAAAACACGGTGAAGGATGAGTCTCGGCCCTACGGTTTGGTGTGTCTGTACTAGTGAGATTCAGGCCTGTTCTTATGTGTTTCATGTGTCCCTGGAGTCCATTTTGGCACCGAATCAGAGCTTGGCAACCAATCACGTTTTACTCTGTGGGTGAAATGAATTACTCTCGTGGTGACCAGATGTGAAGACTGAGGAGATTCTAGACATAGTTCTCCTTTTTTGTAAGCTTATAAAAGTGATTTGATAGAGAGTAAGTGGGAATGGAAACTGTGTCCCCCTGGACAAACAGAGGAGCCAATCACAGCTTAGAGCAGAATCTCCAACTCTATTACTTACAGCATTAGAGACTCTTCTGGGAGTCCTGCTCAGGAAAAGGAACCTTCCAGAAATATGTTGAGGTTGTGGGGGCACTGGATACTGTTGGTGTAAAGCTCTGTATTTGTTCTCTGGATGGTGGGACAAACGAAAGATCTCTTTTCCACTCTTCTCCTTTCTCAGCAACAGTTCCTGTAGCCATACACACTCTGCAGGTATTGTGACATACAGTGGGGTTCAAAAGTCTGAGGTTACACTGACAATCTCCCAAAATGGAATTTAAATCTGGAAATAAAGTTTTAAAATTTTAGGAAAAAAATTAAACCAAGGAATATTACAAATATTGTGTATACGTTATAATAAATATTTATGATTCTTCACTTCTTTTGGCCACATCAAATAAGTACATTTGTGACATTGTGTGTTCTTTTAGTTTCATTATCATGGACTTTTAGGTTGTTTCACATCACCTTCTTGCTTCCTTTATTCTAGTTTCCCGCCACTCATCAGTATCATGGACATTCATTAATCAGCACACCTGTTCACTTTTTAGTTTATCTCTGCATATTTAAGTTCCTCTGGGTTCACTTCTCAGTTTTTCTGCATTTTTTGTGCTATGTACATTGTTTCGTAGCTTGGCGTACATTTTGGATTACCTTCTGTTGCTTTTTTTAATAAACTGTGTTGTTTTATTTACTTTGGATTCATCTACCTCATCTGTTAGGACCAGTGCTTGAAGCGGAAAAAATAAATATATACATTTTCATCATTCCAGATGTGTATATATATATATATATATAATGTGCATATATAATATAAATAAGCACCAGTTAAGCTGCGATACCAAACAGGACCACAGGGAGACGCCAAAAGACCACTAAACCTGATGCCTTAACCTGACTGTACATGCTACTGTACGGATCCATTCAGAATTACTAAACTACTGACCAGTGCATGATCTAAAAACACCTTCAGCCAGCATTCATTATAAAACACTCGTGCTTTTAAGCCAAATACACGCTGAAAATAATAATTTACTTCCATCTGGATGCGAGTCATTATTCTCTCCGCTATCTCTAATGAAATCGTCCGTGTTTTCTCTGCATTACTACTTATTACTAATGCATTCCCTTACTGGCATCTTGAACTTTCCAGAAGGTTACCGGTTTCAAATGACCTCCTGGGTAGTGTGCTTTATAGTGTCATCTCTAATCACCCAGACACTGACACTTTGACTCAGTACCGGCAACATGTCAGAAGTGCCGGTATGCATGAAAAAGTGCCAGTACGCTAAAGACTACTGCGTACCGGCCCACTTCAAACACTGGTTAGGACTAAAGCCTGTGTTATACTTTCCGCGTGAGCAATCTGGACGTGTACATGGACTACCTGTATTTATACTACTGAAAGCATACGCTGAAGTTCGTGTTCCATACATGCGCAGTAGATCAGCTTGAACAATAAACAAACATGTGAACAAACAATTGCAATTGAGTTATTGCACATCTGGTTGTCTTTATATAGTTTTATCACGGATTTTACAGGTTCGAGTAGCAATGAGTTTCTTCACACAACCGGCGCATGCGCAGTAGCCTACTGGTCACAAAAAATGGGAGGCACGGGCATGTCCGCGCAGAGCCTCCGCACACACTCTTTAGTGTTTACTATTGTCGTTTTGCATTATTGACACACTATTTTCCTAATTAATGCTGTTCAGTTGCTTTGACACAATCTGTATTGTTAAAAGCGATATATAAATAAAGGTGACTTGACTTGACTTGACACTCTCCGATGACGATTTTTACATCACGCATGCCATAGCGAACCCTAGCAGACTCGCGCACGCGGAAAGCATAACACAGGCTTTAACGTTACATATTGATCATATGACTCAATACTGGAGAACATGATAATGCGGTTTGATCTTATGCAGGTCAATGCTGCTTGTTTCTGCCACGGGATAAAAAAAAAAACTTTTTATCTCACAATTCAGACTTTTTTTCTAGCAATTCTCAGAAAGTCAGAATTGTGACATATAAACTTGGAATTCAGAGGAATACAAGACAATTGTAAGATAAAAGTCGCAATTACTTATTTTTTTCTTTTTAGTCCGTGTCAGAAAAAAAAAACAAAGAATTGGGAGATGTATCCTAAACTTAATTCAAAGAAAAAAGGTCAGCGTTGCAAGATATAAACTCAGAATTACAGCTTTACTTGAAAAAAATCTTGTTACTTACAAGTTTTCATAAATTGGCTTCTGAGTAAACTTGAATATATTGAGCAAACTTTTGATTTTTCTGAGACCGTAATTTTGTAAGATTTTTTCAAGTAACGTTAACATATTGAAATTTACAGTGATCTCATAATTCCCAGTTTACATCATAATTGCGGGAAAATTGTGAAGTAAAAGTCGCAATTAACTTTTTTCACAATTACCTTGAATCCTATGGAGGAAACAAGTGTTCATTCAAACGGTTATAAAGTTCATGTTAACTATAATGTGTTTGGAATTAAAAAACTGTATTACATAAAGCATCTTCACAGGTGGACATACCCACTGTATGTCTGCAGCAGATTCTTGAAAGCAAAACCGCTGATTATCGTTTAATGCAGTTTAGTGTATTTGATCAGAACAAACAAGGGTATTTAAGGACAACTAGGGATCTG